AAAAAGGTAATTTTTAGATTTATTGATGAAGAAGGTTTTAAAACTAAAGCATTACATAAGGTAGATAAAGAGTTTGATGAACTAATGGATATATTAAGAAAAGACAAAGATTTTGATGATTTTGTAAAGGATTTAATGAAACATTACGATAACCTTTTTGACGCTATCAAAATTCAACAAGTGGAAAAAATAAGCAAAAGCGGTGAGAAATTTGACATAATGAAGGAAAACTTAACCGACGGAATACTGCACTCATCAATGTATCATCGTTACATATATACACACATAAACAGCAATTTGACAAACCTAAAACAAGCAATAGAAAATAACACACATGTAGATAATCAATGTTGGTTTAATGCACTGATAGACTTTTACCACGATACCCTGATGGACGGCAACAAAAGAAAACAATTAACACGAGAAAAAATTATAGAGATCACAGGGAAGGAGGATTTTTATAGCAAAGGTGCTAGCATTGAAGATATGGATAAGGTATTTAAGGAGTTTAAAATACCAGCTAGAATTTTTGATAGCTTTAATAATCTGATATATAAACACGAACCGGAACATAACAAAAGAAGAATTAAGCCGTTTTATGCCATTGTCAAAAACAGCCACATATACACAATGAATAACGACTTAAAAAGCATTGAACAAAAGCAAAATTTAGAAGAACAAAAATACATAGTTAAAGCATCTACCGAATACCATTTGAACGAAAAGGAAGAACCACCAGAATATAAAATGTTCAATGATACTTATGAACTTTTAAAAATGGTCAGTAAAGAAAAAGAACCAATAACATATTATTTAGTTCCTGAACATAACAACTTAACCAGAATATTTTTTGAACTCTTGAACTCAAGATATGAACCACAAATAAAATTTCAAGCGGGGATTATTACAGAAGTGAAGCTTAAACTTAAGAAAACCACATTTATAATTAAAACTCAAAATTTAATTAAGGGGTCGTCAGATGGATGCATAGCAGTAGATGACGAAAAAACATATAACAACATGAACGAAGCAATGTTTAATTTCAATAAAGCTTTGTTTAATCCATTACATAAGTCATTTTATAATCAAATTGACCTGAAGATTTACAAAGAAGCAAAAACTATACCACCAACGGGACTTTTAAAACCTAGGCAATATACAGAAAGATATTACAGAAATTGACATAACGAAAGCATATACAAGTAGATTAATTAACATTGATAAAATACCGGTATTCAATCAATTTGACATCTGGAGACCTTACATGGATGACATGGATTATAATAAATTGTCAGATTATGTGTTATACTTTGTTGAAGATTGTAAAAGAACTAGGCCTAATTTTACAATGTTTCTCAACTTGTTTAATAAAAAATACAACTTAATTTATGGAAAATATTTAAAACAGATTGAAGCAAACGATCTGAAAATATTATATTATAAAACGCCTTCATTCATACACGATGTTAACTATAACGAGATAGTTAAGGAATTATGGGGGAAATCCATTAGTGAACATGAGGAACTGGACAAACTGATTAAAAAACTTATTGTAAATGTTAACATCGGGCTTTTAGAAAAAACCGAGAACACCTCGCAAAAAAGCACAGTTTTCAAAAACTTAAAGGAGGCATCAAATTTCCAATTAAAACACGGAGGCAAAATACACAAGATAGAAGAGGTAGAATGTCACCACGATGTAATGTTTAGAGGAGATAAAGAAGATGAAAACATTTATTCAATATTGTATGATGAACCAAGTGGAACGGATTATTATTTAGTGAACTTATCGGACAGCGTAATGTTAAACAATGGATATATTTATATAAAAGAGCTATTACTTCAAGATCATAATTTTAAAATGTTTCAAGATTATAATAAACTAGTGAAAAATTTTGTATCCGTTATGAGTGTTAAAACAGACGCATTTGTAATAAGAAAACGGGATGTTGATAAAGCGCGAGAAATTTTAGAAATGAAAACCGGCATAGGAGAATGGAGAACAAATAAGGAAGGAGAAGAAATAATTTTAGCACCCGAGGAATACAAGAAAAAACCAAATGAATTAAATAAAATACCTATCTACAAAAATGTAGCAATAGAAATCAAAGACGAGTATGACACCAAAAATATAATAGCAAATGTTATAAGTGCCAAACATGTTATGATCAGAGCAAAATATGCAGGTTCAGGAAAGAGTTATATATGTGAAAAAATGGCTGATATGGGTATGAGTGTTTTATTTGTATGTCCTACTAATAAACTTGTTCAAAAATACGGCACGGAAGCAATCACAGTAAATAAATTCTTTTCTATAGCTGTGGGTGACGAGAAGCTAGAAAAATTTGATTATTCAGGTTATGATGTCATAGTGTTTGACGAGATTTACTTTAATGGATTAAGGGTGTTAAACAGAATTAGGGAATTTGTACAACAAAATCAAGATAAAATAATAGTAGCTACCGGCGACGGTAAGCAATTAAAACCAGTATCAGAACTAACCAATTTACAGGAGCACGAAGAATACGCCGATAATTGCGTGGATAAAATTTTCAAATATAATATTTATCTGAAAGTTTGTAAACGATTAAGGAAAGAAGAGGATAGGAAAAAATTAGAAAATATTTATATTGACATTTTTGAAAATAATATTAAAGCGAGGGATTTAGTGAAAAAATATTTTAAATACACATCTGACATAAATTTAAACAGTAATAATGTAGCATATTTAAATGATACATGTAGGGAAGTTGCAAATGAAATTAGAAAAATGCAAAATAGAAAAGGCGAATATGAAGTAGGAGAAATAATGACATGTAGAGAGTATTTAAAATCAAAAACTTATAAATTTCAAGTTAATTTTAAATACAAGATTTTAAACATAATTGAAAATGCGGTAGTTTTAGAAGACGAGCACACTAAAATAATTCAACAATTACCGCTGGATATGTTGAGGAAGCATTTTATATTCAATTATTGTTTTACCTGCCACAGCGTCCAAGGTTCAAGCATTGAGGGAGGTATAACAATATTTGATTATAACCATTGTCTGGTAGATAAAAACTGGCTGTGGACGGCGATTACAAGAGCCACAGATTTAAATAATGTATCATTCTTCAAATATGATAATGACGCGAGGAACGAGCCTCGCGTGCTTCGCGACGATAATGAATTTAATAAAAGATGCATATATAATTATTTATGTAGAAAGGTTGAAGGATATAAAGAACAAGATAGAAAAGCAAAAAGAAAAATAGATCATAAGAATTATATTACCGCTGAATGGCTATTAAATAGATTGAACGGGAGCTGTGAAAAATGTAGTGTAGAATTTTATGTTAAATCAATAGGCGGAAATATAAGGACAAATTTAACCGCACAGCGGAAATTTAACGATCAGACGCATACAATAAGCAATTGCATAGCATATTGCAAGAGGTGCAACTGCAACGCCAGCGATAAAGAAAAGTTTTAAAAAGTTTTAAAAATATATAGTTTTAAAAAAACTTTTATATAATATTGTATATATGCCAGTTGGTAAAAGCAAGGTTGAAGAAAAAGTAGAAGTGCCAGTAAATGAACAATTTGAAGAATTCAGTGAAAAAATCTACAATATGGTTTTAGAACTAACTCGTGATATGGAAACGGTGTTGGAAAAACTTGAAGTATTAACTGAAAAACCTAAATATAAATCAAATACAAATCCCGAAGGAACATATGCAAACAAAAGAAACGCTTATATTAAGAAATTAAATGATGGAGCAATTTTACAACCTAAACCGGAAACTATGGAATATTATAAGGTTGTAAAGGAAGGCGACAAATATGTTTAAAAGTTTGAAAAAGTTTATGATATATGGTATATGCCTAAAAGGATAATAACATATATCTATAACCATGGTAAGTTCAAGATATTGTAAAGGTTGTCAGAGAATGCGTGAATGGTGGGAATATTCAGAAAACTTCAAATTATGTGATGATTGTAGAAGACATAGTCGTGAAAAAAGTAGAAAGAATTATGAAGAAAACCCAGATTTATGTAAGTTAAAACAAAAGCAATATAGGAACAGTCATAAGGAGCAGGAAAAAGAACGACATAAAAAATATCAAGAGGATAATAAGGAAAAAGTGAAAGCACATAGACAAGAATATATGAAAATAATTTATCATTGTCCGTTTTGTAATTATGATGTAAAACATTACAAAAAAGCACAACATGAGAAATCAGAAACACATAAAAACAATGTAATATTAAAAGAACTTGAAGATCTGAAAAATATAAATATTAATTTAAATGAAGTTGAAGACGATGATGTCAAAAAATATTTACAAAATAAAATGTAAAAAATATCACAAAAAATATCACAAAAAATATTACAAAATTTCTGAATTTTTGTAATAAAATTTATGATAAAATTATTGTAAAAATTTACAAAAATTTATGATAAAATTTGATGGATTTTTTATCATAAATTTCTGAAATCCTAGGGTACCCCCTAGGGAAAAAACGCATGAGGTATCAGCGGGAGGGATATATAAGTTGGGGCGTGGCCTAACCTAACTGGTGGTGGTGGTGGTGGTGGTGGTGGTGGTGGTGGTGGTGGTGGTGGTGGTGGTGGTGGTGGTGGTGGTGGTGGTGGTGGTGGTGGTGGTGGTGGTGGTGGTGGTGGTGGTGGTGGTGGGGGTGGTGGCGGCGGCGGCGGCGGCGGTGGTGGTGGTGGTGGTGGCGGCGCCGTCGCCGTTGCCGTTGCTGTTGCTTGTGGTGGTGTTGGTGTACTTACTGTTGTCGTTGTGAATGGGGTTGTGGCTGCGGTTGCGGTTGTTGTCGCTGTGGCTGTTCGATTCTTTTCCTTCCTATTACTAGAGTTGCTACAACTCTAGCTTGGGATGTTATTCCAAAGTTCACGTTACCTTCGTATCTTATTTTGTTGGCGCGTTTACCTCAATGACCACAGTGGTTTTAAGATGTGTTCAGTACAGTTCAGTGTTGCCGTTCTGAGGCCATCCTGGGATATGTGGGCTTGGTGCCCTCCGACTGCAGCACTGGCCGGGCGGTGTCATCAGCCAACGTCAGGTGCCAGCACCGCTCGTGGTCTGCATCAATGCAAGATGGGCGACCAGACTGTATGTTGGTGCGCGTGCCGTTTCTGTAGTTTCAGCGTAAGTACGTGGTTGATTCTAAGTGAGTCTCGTAGCACGCACTAGTGTGGAGAGTGGGTTTTCAGACATGCTGGCTTGGATCTTAGGCCTGGAGAGTGGCTTCTGAAGCTTCTCTCCGGCAGCAGTGAGATCAGCAGCCCAGAAGACAGCGTCAACCACAAAAGACCCTGGGCTACTCCCTCCAGCAAACCCTACGCATTCAAGTGAAGCGGTCTAGTTGACTCTGACTCTGTTGTAGTATTGTACATGGCACTAGACTGGAGAAGGCTGTCGTCTATTCGGAATGCTATGCTACAATCCTGAACCCGGAGCCATAAAACTGTTGCTTGAACTGGGTTCCATGGCTCAGGATTCGGAGCTGAGATTCAGCTGCTGACACAGGATGAATGGACGAACGAGTGCTCAGACTACGCAGCTACCATATGCCACTTCTGGCTGGAGGAGCGGTTTGAAAAGAGGATCCAGATTCTCGTCCTGTTTGCTTGCCCGGTGGGCCCTGAAGACGGACCACTCTTTGGTTTAAGAAGGAGCCCCAAACGGGATGCGCATAAATGATGGGGGTAGCAGTACGCCGTCCTACACTTCCCTTGTGCATTGCATGCAGTGCCATCTAGCCCTACCGAGGAAGAAGCGGCCAACAGACACGGATTCCGGTGCATCCGAAGCATGGGACAAGCTTGTGGCAGTGTACTCTTATGGTCTCCTTACAAGCAGCTGGGCCCAATGCGCACGGGACATGACTTGGACTGGACCGGTTCCTGACCCCAAAAACCCTAAACTCAAAGCCATGACTGTAGTCCCAAGGAGGGAAGAGCAAAAGCTGGGCATCTGCGGAAGAGCTCCTGAAGCACCTGGCGCAGCTGAATGAATCGAGCAAGATCGTGAAGAAGCTCGGGAAGCCAATATCACATGAGTGCAATGATGTGGAGGGCTTCAGCACCTACATTCAAAGTTACGTGCGCTCGGATTCTGCACCTGGACGGAGTGCAGAGTGGGGTAGAGCTTGTTCCAATGGCTTTGTGTTTACATGTTAGATTGTGCATGCGGGCTCAGTCAGGCAGATCCTTCTTACACAAACTACTGGCCGGTGGTGAAGGACATACTTATCAAGGGGCCGTTCGAGCGTCTGAGAGGCTTTGCACACATGATGGATTGTGTGACTTGACGATGCACATCTGAGTAGCATGTTGGGTGGGTGTTTCGAAAATGTTTGTGTTGGTGAGAAGTGCCCTGAAACTCCTGGCTTAGGTCGGGTGTGGTGACAGCAACACAGCCCGCGACACTTTGACGAAGCAGCACGAAAGGGAGTCAGATGTTGTTTTCATTGTCAGTGACATTGCGCGCTGTGTCAGCAACAACGTTACCATTGAGCTCCTGAAGACGCAGCTTCGATCCATCTTGCTCAGATGTTCGCAGTCTGACCTTGCATTTGTTTGCACCAAGGCAGACCTGCACTCAGTTTGGCCGTAGTTATAACACAGGCTTAGGTTAGCCATGCAGCACGGTGCCATCATGAATCTCTTGATGCCGGTGTGGGTATCATGTTGCTCAGGATGTCATCACCGAGCGAGAAGCCCAATGCACCTTGCGCCTTCATGACGAAGCCAGTTTCAGGGATTGCGTAGTGGCCCGCAACAAGCTTGTTCGGAAGAATATGCAGAAGGAGATTCGACAGATGATGTGCGACATGCAACGCGAAGAGGAAGACAGCACTTTCTCCTGGCTGAAGTTTCCGGTTTTCTGCATTTCCGCCAAAGCCTACATGACAGTGTTGGGTGCAGAGAAGCCTTCGGCTGGGCTGGACGAGCTGGATTTGAGGGACACTGAGGTTCCAGATCTCGTCCGCCTCCTTCAGATGCCAGTCGTCCGCAGGTGGTTATGTTGGATGTTAGGATGATGCAGCTTGTCTACCCTGCTCTATAATTGCGTTGCCTCAGGCAAGCTCTGCGACATGGCAATAGGGCATCGCAGGGTGTGTCCACGCGATTGGTGGAGGCAGCATCCCTAATTTGCAGCTTCCTGGGAAATGGAGATACCGTGGAAGAGCACAAGACGTTGTGCAAAACCACCTTTTCGGAGTAGCTTGACTGATCGCATAATTTAACCGCTAGCGCGAGAGCCGCCTCGGGGGACGAGCCGCCATGTTGCACGGGGGTTGAGGGGGGGTGACAGACAGAAGTGGGTAGGGCATGGGAGACACCATCCGTGTCCCAGAAGCAAAAGGTCAGGACTGTCCGGATTAGCAGCGTTTGCCTGACGAGTCGACGACGACGTTTGTTGTTGTGTTGGTGCTTGTCTTGACAGGGACAGGGCAAATTATACTGTTCGTAAGTTGTGACGTGCCTTTGCGAGCGAAATTCTGCCGTGACTGTTCAGGCAATGTCAGATCTTCCAGCAAGCACTGAAGCGCAAGCTCGACAAGTTCATGCGTGATGCAGAGGCTGGTCTGTATCGTTGTCGGAATTGCGATCATAGTAGTTAAGCCAGTTAAGCCTTGAGCACATTTGAAGGCGTGAACATGACAGAGAATAGCCAGGAAGAGAGGCAGTATTGTCAGAAACCAGAAAACCGACAAGGCCAGTGACATTGGCAACCGACCCTACGTAATGCTTCAATTTAGTGTAGTTTGACTTGGGTGTTGGGTTCAAGGTTGAGGGTGTCCCACAGTTGCAGACCCCCGAAGATGGCCCCGGGCACACTCGGCCACACTCCAGACTTTGACTCGAACTACAAGCTCAACGGTTTTGCAGCTCGGAGCCGAAACCCTACAGTAAAGCATGCACCCTGCCGAACACCAAGCCTAACCCCAAAGCCCCCAGAGCACAGGGGAGGAAAATAGGGGAGCCTGATGTTGTACCCAAAATAGTAGGATTTTTATTGTAAGGACCCCAAAACAAGGTACCCCTAATGTTCGGAAACTCTAAACCCTTCTAGAGCCAATTATAACTACTATTACTACCATTCCATTCTTCCATTCCCTACTAACCAAAGGTAAGTACAGCCCCCAGAATATGGGAGTTTCCGAAAATAGGGGTACCCTATTTAGGGGTCCTTATAATAAGGATCCTACTATTTAGGGTCCTATATTAGGGTCCCCTATTTTCGGAAACTCCCATATATTCCCTAAACCCTAAACCCTAAACCCTTATTGCCAGGTCTTGTTCAGTGAAGGCCTTCTGAAAAGCATCCGGGAGGGCTCTCGTCTGGCGGGCCTCGGGGCTCCCAAGGCGCCTTTGTGATTGCTTGCCAATTACAGGATCTATAGGGGTTCCTAGGGTTCCTTAAAAGGGCTCCTTTAAAGGGGATCTATAGGGGGTTCTATTTTAAGAGTGGCTTTTAGGGTCTACTTCAAGGATCATGGGACTTAGTAACTAGGGTGATACTTTACAGGGCTCCTTTAAAGGGGATCTACAGGGGTTCTATTCTAAGAGTGCTTTATAGGGTCTACTTAAAGGATCATGGGACTTAGTAACTAGGGTTATATGTCGGGTAACTATACTTATAACCCCAATTAGGGTACCCATAACCTTACTTTCTAAGTTCCATGATCCTCCAAACAGTGATTTTGCCGCGCATACTACAAAGGCTGGAATGTGGTGGTGCGATTAAGGAAGCGAGATAGCCGGCATGGCCCCTCACGGATAGCTTCTTCCCAAATTCTGCTGAGAGGTCTTACCGAGCGCGGCTCTAACCCGTTGCAGTATCTCATCTCTCTCGAAGGCAACTTCATCGCGGCCCTGTCTTCCCGTGCCTGGACCCCGAAGCAAACAGATCCCTTAGACCCCAGTCCCTGGGAGCAGGTCGCGGAGGCTTGGCACGGCTATCATCCCACCTCCTACTGCGCCGCAGCGCGGAAGAGCGGCATCAACCCGAAGTCGCGACGAGGCCTCGACCGCCAACGATTGAACCCAGAAAGTGCAAACATGTGGCTCAGAAGTGGTGCCAGGAATTCGCACAGATAAAGTTAGAATAGCAGATTGACCCTTGACTTTGAGGCCAAACCAACGCTTCTTTCAGCTTGCTAAAATTCTACACAGCCACCCTACCACAACACCCAATCCACACCGGTGACCGGGTCTGGGACGAGGACACATTCTGCCCAATTTGCACATGTTGATCTTGGTTTTTAAATGTGGTGTATCGCACATTTGTGCAAGGTGAGATCCACTGGCCGCGAGAGTTATCCAAAGGATGCTACGATGCTTTCCAGCCCAAGTGGATGGAGTTGTTTGGGAGCCAACTTCCAAAATTGTACGAAAGCTTCGAACAGATCCTCAGGGAAGAGATGAGGGGCTTCCACGAGCACATGGCACAGAAGCTGCCCCAGATCCCGAACTTGGAAGATATCCAGGCGTCAGTTGAGATTGAGGGCTACTTGCAGCGAGTTCGCATCAGTAGCGAGGAAGAAGAGCAGATGACCAAGAGGGAGCTGTGCGAGGAAGTAATCCGCAACGTCCAGTTCAACTTGAAGTCTACCTTTGAAGATGCAAAGGACATCAAGGGCAAAGGTTGCTTTGCCAGGATGAAGGAGCACATCGATGGATCGGCACATGGCTCAGTAAGTGCTGTAGCATCGAAGCCGTAGATGACATGCCACCTCGGTGAATCGGTTTTTAGCTCCTGCCGCGCGCTTGGCACATGGCCGAGGTGCAAAACATCAAGTGGCAGGAAGTTACTCAGGGACTTCTTCAAGGTTGTGAGGAATTCTTGTATACCTTCCAGCAGCTCAACGAAAAGGCTACGCGAGATTTGCCGCAGTTGTTGGAAGATGGTGCCGAGCTTAATAAGTCCGTTTTTCCAGCTAGGCGATACAGTCTTTCAGACATGACTCCCTACCTGTTTAATGTAAAGAAGTCAAGCCCTGTCCAGGCTATGAAGTCCTTTGGCATGATCTGGACGAAGCTGCCTTGCGGGCATGGCGTGACCTGAGAGAAGCTGTGTTGCCCACAGCTCTCCAGATCAAAGCCAAGGCTGAAGCGCTGAAGGCGCGTGTTGAAGAGCGTGCGCAGCTCTCAGCTGACGGCACTGTGATTGTAGATGATGGGGAGGACGAAGAGGACCGGGAAAGCGTCCAAGATGCAGCCGGGATGAAGGACGAGCATGCAGAGGATGGGGAAGAAGAGCACATGTCTGAGGACGCGGAGGAGGTGGAGGAGGAGGAGCAGACGACACATCACGCCAGAGAAGAGGAGATGTCTGATGGTTGGGAGAAAATGGAGGAAGAGAATGCAGAAGACAGCGAAGAGCAGGAGGAGCCAGAGGAAAGCCGGCAAGAGAAGATCGAGCCGGTAACACCGCATGGGGCCGAAGCTTCAGAGACGCAGTCAAACCACGAGGAGGAAGGCGCCGAGTCTGCTGAATCCCAGGGCCTCGAGGAGGAGCATAGCGACAAGGGAATGAAGCGCAAACGTGAAGATAGCCCACATGCGGTTCGGAACACGCCCACGCCTCTCGCAATCTTCCGGAGGCCATGGGATGCTGCTGTGGAGTTGTTGTATTGCACAGTGCATGTTTCATGGCAACCACCACCTACGACACCCAATTCCGACTTCATGTGAAGACGAAATGCCCAAACAGGTAAACCAAGGAACAAAAGAACAAATGAGTGTATGCGTGCCTTCGTTGTTATTCGTTTCTTGATTTTTTATGTTTTTTGTTGAACTGGTTAATTGCTTACTTGTATTTTTGTATGAGCATTGATCTCAAGGTTCGTGTCTTTTGGTTTTCGTGTAAAACGGCCCCAAGATTGGCAATGGCTCTCCGAAATTAAGAAAATCCCACGAGCATGTTCGTGCAACAGACTTGGGTCATGTACGACTTATAGAGATGCCATCAATCTGCAGGCGGACATGTCTCAAGCCCCTCAGTTCCGCGTAAGGTCGCACTGCGCGTGTGCGTGTGTGTCTGTCGGCGTGTGTGCATGTGTACTACTTCTACTACTACTATCAGTATCATTACTACTGCTATTCCTACTCCTGCTCCTGCTCCTTCTGCTGCTGCTGCTGCTGCTGCTGATTTTGCTGCTGCTGCTGCTGCTTCTAATGCGACTTCCACTGCTGCTGCTACTGCCAAATGCCACTGCCACGGCAACTCCTCCTACTCTTACTCCTACTCCTACTGCTACCGCTACTGCTACTGCTACTGCTAATGCCACTGGTGCTACTGCTACTGCTACTACTTTAAGAAAGTAATGGGCCTCTGCTACTGCCGCTGCTACCGGTGTTGTTTTACGTTGATGACGGTTATTGTTTTAGCTGTTTCTACTTACCTTCAGAAAGTTGACTTCTGAACACGGAGTGTAAGACATTCTGGTGGTGTGCTGGCGCACGCAGGCTGACTGGCTGAAGCTCTGAATCTGACTGTTCGACTAATATGTTTAATCAATGTGTGGCTACGGGCCAACGACGGAAGTTTCCGAATGCGGATCTCAATGCTGAATCTCGGGCAAACGGGATCCGAAGACGATGCGGAGAAACTCCCAGATCACAATCTTTGGGTTGTGCAGCGGGTCAACATGCATCTGCGCAGAGGGCTCCAGGCCTCGTGATGTGTTCTGGCGCGGATGCCGGCGCAGATGCACCAGGGTTCGTGGCAGCTTCGTTTGGGGAGTCTTGCTGTCCATTGTGAAGTATGGCAAAAAAAGCCGTGCGTTGTTGCTCTCGCATCTGTGTTTTTGTATGCTTCGCGTACTTATATGCAGGGCGCTGGTTGTGCAACAGGGAGCACTTCTGATGGGCACAAGCTATGCTTGGCAGGAGGAGTCTTAACAGATCACTCATGGGGTATGTACCGTCATGTCTCCAGACCGGTGTTACCTGGGACGTACTGCCTGTCGCCGTCGCCGTCGCTCCCTGTCGCCGTCGCTCCCTGTCGCCTCTCCCTTCTTTCGCTATGGCTTTTCCGCAGCAACATAAGCCGGATGAGTAGCTGGCAACATTCGTGTCAAATCCAAATTGCAAAGACCCGCAACACAGCAACAGCGCAGTTTTCGGACGGGTATTAGCCGGCTGAACATGTCAATGATTCCGTACCTAAATCCACAACACAATAGCAGCAACATAGAATTCGGATGGACCGTTTCGAGCAAATACCCACAGCAGAGCAGAGCAGCAATCCAGAATCCAAGCGTTTAATGTGCAAGGTGATATGGTCAGCGAGTTTCCACCATGCTAGAACGCGGAGGGTATTTACCAGCTTAGCACAGTAATGTCAAGGATTCATAAAATTGATGGGTAGTGTAGGTCGCAGCACGGGCATAGCAATGGTACCAGGGTAACAACGGCATTAACATGCAAGCGTCTCAGAGGTCTACACTTCAGGATGCGAGGTTGAGTCTGATACCGCCGAATGGTTGCTTCCTTTTGGCTGCTTAAAGTGTGCTTCTGTGTGTTCACCCTTTGCCTCCTGCCTCCCTTACAGAGGACTTCTCTGCCGGATCCGCGCAGCTTGTGGCGCTAAAGGGAATCCAGACACGGTTCAGAAGTAGCATTATCACTAGCAGGAGAGTGGCTTGGGCGGTGTGCATGTCATGGAGAGGATTTAGGGATACAGCGAGGGTGCGTGTGCGTGCACCGTCGCTTCGGTGAGCATCTGGAGCTTCATACAAGCACGTGCTGCCATCATGGCTTGCGAGTCGAACAATTCAACACAGCAGCTTTGCAAACCCATGAGTGGAGCCGTGTTCGTCACACAGACTGTCACACAGATGGCCTTGTGTGCACTAGGGCAGCTCAAGCAGGAGTATACCGCAAACCGACCAGCTGGGATGGCATTTGCTGCCACGCTATGCAGGCATCCGCACACACAGACGTCGTAAATGGGGAAGACCCTGACTGCAACGACCCTAAGAGCAGACCCTTGGTGTTGAGAATCCCCGGAACTTCACTGTACCCTTAAAAAGCCCAAATTGCTTGGAGCAGCAGCAAAAGCAACGAGATCAGCAGTGAACGAGTTGTAGTCGCGACTACAGTCACCATACTCAGAACAGCAAGAATCACGACACTCATAGTTCACTCCTCGCACTGGGATGCGAAGCCAAAGCTGCTGACAATTTCGGTGTCGTGGACTCAGGCCAAGCTTGTCTTTCAAGGATACTGGCCATGACAGCCCACGTTCATGTGTGGTGATGAACATGAGCACATTATTCATAGTGCTGGTGGTCACTGGATGATTGTGACATTTGTGTCGATAATGGTGCTGGCGAAGAGGATGACAGCAATGATAAGGATGATGCTGCTGATGATGAGGCAGTTGATGATGCTGTGAAGACAAAGGTGATATCTGTGATGGTGATGCCAATGATGGCGAACAAAGCCAGGATGAACATAGTTGGTATGTAAATCTATGTCGATAATGTGGGCGCGATAATGAAGATAGTGCTTTAAAATGACCATGGGTGCGTTCGGAAAGCTCCAGACGGTTGAGATAAGACTAATGTGGCATAGCCATCAGTAGTCATACTGATGACTAGTGCCATGATGGCGCTGCTACTGCTACTACTACTACTACTACTACTACTACTCCTGCTGCTGCTGCTTCTTCTACTGCTGGTACTATACTAGTACTACTACTATCAATAATAATGATAATAATTACTGCTACGAATTCTACTACTGCTACTATCAGTACTACTCCTACGACTACTTCGCGACTACATGCACTGGTACTAGTAAATAGTACTAGTATTCCCACTCCTACTTCTGCTGCTGCTGATACTGCTGCTGCTACTCCTACTGCTGCTATTGCTCCAACTGCTACTCCTACTGCCGCTGCCGCTACTGCCCCTACTGTTGCTGCTGCTGCTGCTGCTGCTACTCCTCCTACTGCTACTGCTCCAAATGCTACTGCTACTGCTACTACTGCTACTACTACTGCCACTACTGCTACTATGCCACTGGTACTGCTACTTTTGCTGCCTACTGCCACCTTCAACCTACTACCTAAACGACGAGGACTGCTGCTAGCATCGCTGCTGCGTTTTTTTGCCCAAAGTGGCTCTGGCCCTGTATTTGTTGTATTGCATGCAGCCGCTCCCTACTTTGCAAGGACACTATTGCCAAACATGCTACTGCAGATGTTTCCTCTGCTGCTGCTTATGATGTTGAAGCTGATAGCAGTTACGAGTGGTGCACGCAGTGAAACTCATTGCAGGCGTTGGGGTGCTTTAATTTTCTACACCCCCAAACACCAAGAAAATGTTTGTTGCGGCCCTAAGGTGGTAGTGTGGCCATGTTCTGTTGTTGCCGCAGCACGTGGGTTTTCGTCCAGCTCAGACAAGAGACTATCAAGAAATGGAGGAGCACAACCTGGCAGCCGTTGTTCGTGTGGCATAACCTCTTGGATCCTGGCACCGGCGCCAGTCTTTCTGTCCATCATCCTTTCATCCCCACGCCTGAAAGCCGTGTCTCCTGAACCGCATGCGCTTGTGCCATGGATGCCCAGATGGCCTGCGCAAACCTGGCTTGTTGCGCTGTGCGCAGAGGCGGTCGGAACTCCATGGAAGATCGCTTGCGTGGTGTCTTGCTTGTCCTATGACCCTTTAGAATCAGGTCAGCGCAGGCAGGGAGGGGGTAACGCTGCCTGAGCCTGTCAACTCGCCACACTCCCCTGGATCACCAAGTCAACTGGGAAGAAAATCACGAAACCAACACCCTACATTGCATGCATCCCCAACTAGAAGCTGAATCATCAAGGTCCAGGTGTCCAACGAAAGCGACATCGATGGCCTGTATGCAGTGTCGCAGGGTTGGGGACTTCACTGTGACCTGGCTTGTCTTTAGATGTGCAAGTGTGCCTGCCGCACTTGGCAGTGAGTGCAACAGCAGTGCTCAACGCGAGGCTTTCATATCTGTCGCCACATTCGTAAGAATAATGGTATATCCGTATCAGCACGGCTGTTCTCTGCGAATCTCCAGACGCAGCCCAGGTGATTGGACCCTTGGCTGCAACATGAGTACATAGTGCTAGGGCCTTCATGCTTCCGGCGCAGATCAAAGCCAAACCCGAAACGGCAAACGCGACTCGGCCTGAGTGCGTAAGCAGCTCAACGGATCAGCGGACTTTGCAAAGCAAGGCTATGAATAAGGAAACCATAGATATGATTACTCATGGCTCCAATCAGGCTACCCCTACTTAGTAAGCCCCCGAGCCTTTGCGTATCAAAAGGGATTATCCTTGTGTTTTTGTTTGGGTGAAAGCCCCGGAGCTTCAGCCCTCAAAGCCCAAAACCCGATCAAAGCCGGAAACCTCGAACAGAAAACCAGCCCGACAGCTTGAAGCCGTAAATCCCATACCCCAAGGCCCTAAAGCCTCAAGTCTAAGTTCTACTTCGCCAAGTCCTGCAACTCTTTGGAGCAGGAATCCGAAGCTCTAATGCCCAAGATGACGCAGTGGCGCCATATACGGGCCTTTGTAATAATTACCTATGTCTATTTTGGGGAGTTCCTTATTGGTAAGTATAGTATAATGGGCTCCAAAACCCGATTCCAATGATTAAGGTCCCTACACTAAACCCTTATAGTAACCCTTGTATAGCCCCCTTTAAAGGAACCTTAGGCCCCTATAGTAGAAGAATGAGTTGCGGAGCCCTACTATAGATCCCTTATATAGACCCCCTTTCGGAACCCCTATAGAACCCTACTATAGATCCAATATAGAACCCTGTAAGGAACCCTTGTATAGCCCCCTGTAAAGGAACCCTAGGCCCCGATTACTCCCATAGGTTGGCGGCGCTTCTCCCGGACAAGGTTTACGTGGCTTGGCAGATCCGTGCCGGAAAGCCCCCCTTCACTGGGGTGCTTAGGGCTTTTAGGGTTCAGGGTTCAGGGTTTAGGGTTCAGGGTTTAGGGCTTTTAGGGTTCAGGGTTTAGGGTTTATTTAGGGTTCACGTTTCAGGGTTTAGGGGTGTGGGGTACCGAAATAATGTGGCACCTAATATTTATGGTACTCAAAAAGGGACCCTAATTTTGACAACCACCCACTGGCGTACACCTGAGGCTCAGGTGGGCAGGCTCCAGGCCGTAAGTAAGTGAATAAGACGTCCCGACGTGACATCGTTGTTCGAATTTTCACTTTGGAACTTGAGAACTTTCAGCCCCCAAACTCAAAACCCTAAACTCCAAACTCTAAACCCTAAACCCTGAACCGTTTCGGCGGGTTTCGGATTTCCACGGCCTCAGGCAGCGGTGTATCAGCGGCAGGGTCACGAGGAGCATGGGGATTTCCAGGCTGGTTCGGCGCAACATGGGCTAGGGTTTCGGGTTTAGGGCTTAGGGTTTGTAGGGGGCTACTTGGAGGATCATGGGACTCAGTAAGTAAGGTTATAAGTACCTTAATTGGGGTTATAT